TTCTTAGCAGATACCTAAAACTGAACCAGCATGGAGATTGATCATTTTATTGCCATAGATCCTTTTTACCTTAGGCTTAAACACTGGTATGGTTGTAAGTTTTAAATTTAATGCTTGTATTTTTCCTGGTCCCTGGACTAATAAAGTATCTCTCTGTCTATTATTGCTGCCATTGTTTTAGTAGTCCAATGTAAGTCTGACAAAATTAATATTTTGTTCTTATGTTTTATTGTTTTATAGTACTTAAACAGCAGTTGATATAGTGCATCTTTGGACTCTGCCAGATTGGATTTTCTGTTGTGTGTTAAGAAACGTGGGGGAGATCTTGATGGCAAATTTGTTCAAGAATATTTGTCCATTGCATAAATAGATCTTAATTTAATATTTAATTCTGTTCTTCAAAGACAATTGTAAAGAACTTGGTTGTGTGCGGTACTATCAGCATAAGATAGCAATTATATTGCAGACACCAAGATGCATTTTTTACAATGAATGGATACGTTTATCATGCCTCATTGAATATGTTTATACTGTAGTGATACGATGGCAGAAAAAAGAATTGGCATATTTACAATGGCTGCTCAAGTAAACTGCCTAAAGCAAACCTCATTAATTTCAAAGAATGTAATATGGTATCCATTTGTACCTCTACAATAAGGGGCTAGTCATACAAGACATCTACAGAGAATGGGATGAATTTAGTGATCTTTAGATACTTGTAAGGAGAGAACAAAGGCCATTGGCTGTCTATATGCTGTCTGACTGATGAGAACCACAAAACAAGTTTTTAAATCTGAGGCTCTTACTTGAAAAGTGGTTGATGCAATTAAGACTTCTGTAATTGTGTAGGAAACTATAACAAAACAAGGAGGTTTTTTTCAATTTTTAAATAAAATCTAAATCTTGGGTCTAAAAGTACTTGACTTTATCCTTCCCAGGCACCATTTATTGGGAGTCCAGATATGCAATGCAAACTTTTAGGACTTTATACAGCTGTCATTCTAGTATTCTAAGAAGAGTATATGATCAGGCCCCATTATAGTGGTTTTGAAGGGGAACATTTGAACTTGTAATGGGGTCAGGTTGAATAAACCATAAAATCATTATTTCGTTTTTGAGAAAGGGAAGAACAGAAAAGTTAAGGCGAAGTTGTAGATGCCTTTGAAGGATGGCTTCATATAAAAATACATGTCAGATCACTAGGCCTCTCGATTAATCGCAGTTAACTCACGTAATTAAGTAAAAAAATTAATCAAGAATTAAAATATTAATCGTGGTTAATCGCAGTTTTAATTGCATTGTTAAACAATAGAATACTAATTGACATTTATTAAATATTTTGGATGCTGTTCTATATTTTCAAATATACTGATTTTAGTTACAACACAATACAAAGTGTACACTGCTCACTTTATATTACTTTTTATTGCAAATATTTTCACTGTAAAAATTATAAAAGAAACAGTATTTTTTCAATTCACCTCATACAAGTACTGTAGTGCAATCTCTTTATTGTGAAAGTGCAACTTACAAATGTAGATTTTTTGTTGATGTTACATAACTGCACTTGAAAACAAAACAATGCAAAACTTAAAAGCCGACAAGTCCACTCAGTTCTACTTCTCGTTCAGCCAGTCGCTAAGACAAATAAGTTTGTTTACATTTATGGGAGATAATGCTGCCCACTTCTTATTTACAGTGTCATCTGAAAGTGAGAACAGGTGTTGGCATGGGACTTTTGTAGCCCTTGCAAGGTATTTATGTGCCAGATATGCTAAATATTCATATACCCCTTCATGCTTTGGTCACCATTCCAGAGGATGTGCTTCCATGCTGATGATGCTTGTTTAAAAAAATAATGCATTAATTCAATTTAGACTGAACTCCTTGGGGGAGAATAGTATGTCACCGGCTCTGTTTTACCCACGTTCTGCTATATATTTCATATTATAGCAGTCTCGGATGATGACTCAGTACATGTTCATTTAATAACACT